TGCCCTGACTTAGATCAGCCCAGAGGTTGTTTGAGGCTTTGAGTTAGCCATGCCTTGACTTAAAAATCAGCCAAGAGGTTGTTTAAGGCATTGATCAGTGAGTTAGCCATGTCCTGACTTAGATCAGTCCAGAGGTTCCTTCAGGGTTTGATCTGTGAGTTAGCTATGCCCTGACTTAGATCAGCCCAGTGGGTGTTTGTGAGTTACCTATTTGATAAAATTGAATAATGTTTTCTTGAACAAGATTCAAGTTGCTTTTATTTTAAATCATATCCTTTCTAACCACAGTTAATAGTTAACTATGTTCTAAGCTATTACACTTACCTTCAGGAACGAAGACCAAAATGATCAGCACGATAACCAAAGCAGTTTTCATCTTTGCTCGATATAGATGTGTATCGTTCGCTGTCGATGACTAATAAGATGCTATCTGTCTGAGCTGTGTTGTTAACTAAAAGTCCTCAGTAGGTTTTCAGCGTTCTCTAAGGAGTCGAATGTGAAACAACGCCTGCTTTCGAGATATTGAAACGTATCTGTTTAACATTTGAATGCATATAAAAAGCAGGTTTCGTTACTGCTCGGGGAACACGGTTAGGGCGGGGGGTCCTACCTTTGTCCAAATGGCAGAGTTGAAAATGCTTCTTATTAGTATTTGATAGATTGCATACATATATAATTGAAAAACATTGTAAGACCTTGCGCAAATTTGCACAAATTAGTAAGTTCAGTACACCTCAGTAGACCATAGTCAGTTATCTTTATTAGTTTTAACCTGTTAATTAACGGATATATTGTATGCACTTTACTTATTTTCGCCATGAAAAAATATTTAAGGACAGAGGCCACGGAGGGATGCTGCGCACAAAGTTAACCTAGAGAGGAGTGCAATTTTTAGAAAAATTAAGCAAAGATCAGATGCTACGATACATTGATACTTATAAGAATAACTTCTTCACATTTTCAATTGTTAAATCATATTCAAAACATGTAAATTATAATTTAAACTATAGGATCTACTCCCCCTCCCCCCCCCCCCTCCCGTTTCTCTTCCTGAGTGACTCCCCCCTCCCCCCTTCCCGTTTCTCTTCCTGGGTGTTACAGCTTTTCAATAGTGTTCTTTCTTTTCCCTGGAATTACTTTCCGGATTTGAAGTTGTCAGTATGAAACGAAAAAAAAATTGTTTTTTTTATCATTTATACAAAGACCTTCAAATATGACACTAGTGGACGAGACATGTTCACTGATACACCTACTTGCAAGAACGTTGTCATACGATATTAGAACATTAGTAATTTAGTGAGAAAGGAATACATTAAAAGACAAAAGAAAATGCACAGCTTCAGTGTTCTTCTTTTGTTGTTTAATATAATTCCTATCACACTAAATCACTAATGTTCTATTTTCGTATGACAACGTTCTTGCATGTAGGTGTATCTTTTTTATATAAAAATCATGCATTCGTGCGATAAATGTAAGCAAATAATTTTATAAAATAAAACTGAAAATGTATGAAATAATTGGGATACTTTGCGCTCTCTTATTGTTGAAAATGAAATCAAAACCATGTTTATATCAAAAGACGGAAAGCTGAGGAACGCTCAGTTYGAAAGTCTCGTAAGTTAGAACTTCTCTCTTTTTAAAAAACAACTGCTTGATGAACAAATGGTTTATAATGTGAATAGCGCTACGTAAAATTTAAGAGAGGGTCTTAAAGGGACCCCGAATAATAATATCAGCCTTTCCTTTTTCTCTTTAAAGATATAATAAAAATGCCGGTCAAAATTATAATTATATTTAATCACTCTTCTTTATTATTTATTATAAAATAATTGGGATACTACGCGCGCTATGATTGGTCGAAAAGCATGTTTGATGAGAGTATCAAAACACGCTATCGTCATTTTTAATCTATCACGCGCGCTCATTGGTCAGTTCGAATAAGACGGCACGTAGGGAGAATTTACTTAGACTTTGCTTTTTTTCGATCTTTTAGCGCGTTTGTTATTTTATAAAACAAATCAAAAACAGTTTTCCGTGTTTGATACTCTGATCAAAACACTTGGGATGTTAGGAGAACACTCGAGAAGCTGGRAACCACTTCGCTACGCGTCGTGGTTTCCTACGYTCCTCTCGTGTTCTCTCAACATCCCAAGTGTTTTGATCAGAGTATCAAACACGGAAAACTGTTTTTGATCTGTTAATTTATTTTATATATCAATATGATATACGTTATACAGTATTATTGTTATTATGTCTTCCTCTCTTTACAATATCTTTTACTATCTATATGTGTGTAAAATTCAATAAAGTCAAGTCAAAGTCAAAGAGTGCAAGGTGAGGTGTTGATGACCGACAGAACACTTGCCTCAGCCTTGCATTTATTTAGACAATTCAATTCAAACAAATCAAACGGAAGCGATATATCATAGTGAAAACTCATCCGATTACCGCGGCTTTAAATGCCTAATAATCACAAAACTTGCAGTCTTTTAAACTGAACTGCAATATCGTAGTCTAAAATAGAAATTACCGCGCCAAAAATGAGGCAATACGCGAACCTTACCTCCCCCTCCCTGATAAGAATACAAAATATTTACATTTTAACACTATCGCCTGTCAAAGACCTAGGAGAATGTAGTGCGATCATTATGGAAGATATGTGCTGAAATGTTTTGAAGGCGACAATAAATCAAGTCAGAATTAATTACACAATTAACACTTGAAAACGCTAGATATCGCGTTATACCTATGATAGTCCCCTTCACAGTTCCCTGCGGCATCTTGGAAGGTAGCCGTGACTTTGCATCGAAGCGAGACGAACGGTGAGCTTGCAATGATAGAGACATGTGAATAATTGTCCAAGGTGTTAAAAAAGGTCTCTATCATTGCAAGCTCACCGTTCGTCTCGCTGCGATGCAAAGGCACGACTACCTTTCAAGATGGCGCAGGGAACTGTGAAGGAGACTAATATGATTCTGTCCAAGACATTGTCATAGAAATATATCGTATAGCCTGTATGTATATATATATATCTATGAGTACCCTCCCCCTATTGTTAGACAGGGATTATGAATTAAATATGAAAGGTGAACCATGTGCAGGGAACGGAATAAGCATTGAAATCTGAAACAAACTTGTTCAGTTGAGCCGRAAAAAATTAAAAATTAGAAAATAGATTAAGTTAAAATTAAAATTTGATTTTCTATTATTTTTTAAGAATTACATGGAAAATTAAAATTCCTGCAGAAATAATGAATGTGATCAAGCCCACGCATTGTATGTTGTAAAGACTTTTGGTACGTGAAAGTATCAATATCCGATAAACGGAGGGTGCCATTTGTTGCAACGAATATTTATTCGTGTGTCAGCRATAAGAGGAGATCAGAAACTCATAACGGAGTTGAAACGTGTAACACCATGTTACACTAAAGCCATGCTCCAGAATATTCAGATGTGCAAATTAGGCATTCTGATACCACCATATTTGGATTTATAGGTTGCTATCAGTAGACGTCACTTCCGGTAATAACTGCGTTTTTAATGGCTTGTAGAATCTTGCAGGTCGTTTTGATCTCTTGTTTTCTGGTTTCGTGTCGTAGAAATAGTCAAATGCAATAGTTTGAGGACCTATTTTGACATATTTTGACTTAATATCTGCTAGTTGCCCCTCAGTCAACCGCTTGTTTGCCCCCCAGTCAACTCCAAAAAGTCACGTGATTGATATTAAGCAATATGTATGGTTTCAAGATGCCTGCTTCTCTCACATATCAATCTTCTCACTAAGTTTCCTGAATTTCAGAGAATATTTACTAAATCTTTCAATAAAGCATTTGGGAATTTAGTCTTGAGAATTTTTGAAGCAAGAGYATATGGTTTACTGGAAATAAATTTGTCAAGAAAAGTTGATATTATTATCGTAAAATATTGATCGTATCCAGTAAAAGTATGGCAGTTACACACTTCAACCCCCCTATGAGTTTGTGATAAGATATGCGTATTTTTCATATATTTTATCAAACACCTGAGGACCATGTTTTTACGTTGATACGTTTATTGTTTAACTATGCGACTTCACTCGTTTGAGTTAAAATTCTATCCCAAAATTAATTGCGAAAGCAGTTTTTAATCTTTGTAAGTTGTTTCCTAAAATGTTTACAGAACTGAATGTGGTAAATTTTATCAAAGTAGCAAGTAGCTAGTTCTCTTTTTTTGTTAAAAAAAATCTTAGTCATTTCACATTAAGTAAAAAACGGAGGCAACAAAAGACGAAACTGCAGAAACGACAGAAAATGGTCTTTGGATGTTGGCAGTGGACGGTTTGGTTGGAGTCTTGGGGCCATCTTTGTTGCAAAGATCTTTCTGGCAACACTTTACAACACATGTTCCCGCTTGCTTGCACGCATCAGCAGATTTCTGACAGCTGTCCTTGTCGATACATGAACGCGCGTAGGTGTTCTTGGCCTTGGTATAGATGTACATGCATGTGTCAGCAATGCTGGTGCAGTTCAGTACCTTATCACAGTCTTTGTTATTACTGCACGCGTAGCATCTAATAGATAGTGCTGTTTTGGAGCAAAAAAAATAGCAATTAGTTAGTAATTAGGTTTCTAAAGCTGTCTCTTCTCGCTTTTAATAGGGTATAACTTATAGCTCAGAACGCAGCATTTATGGTAGACCACTAGTTGGATTTGACTAACGGATCTCTGGGCATTCTTTGTAATAGAACGTTTTAGCGATAGGTCTTTCCATTTCACTTTCAATAAGAACTTCATTTTCGTTGTTGAGTGAATGTCTACGAGCATGGCTAACTCACAGATCAAACTGGAAGTTGCCTTTTTACAGGTTTTACCGTGGGAAGAAGGTATAAAAAATTGAAACCCTAGAAAAACTCTTGAATCAAGGAAGAGACCTAACAAACTCTACAGAAGTGTGATGCAGAGTATGGGAATCGAACATGAAACCCCAGAGGCGAGAGGCGAGTTCACTGAAGCTACAACACCCTTGATTCACTAAKGCATGTGATGCCGAGTCTGGGATTCGAATTCTAGACCCATGAAGTTAGATTACACTACCGCTAACCTTCCTTTGTTTGTTCGCTCTCACTTATGAGAAGTGTTTGCATAAAAATACATTTAAAATCAAATTATTAAGGTAAAGGCTTTGAAAAAGAACAAGAAATATATATCAAGAAGGACAAGAAGAAAATAATAAAAAAAGGGAAGGAGAGGAGAAGAAGAAGAAGAAGAAGAAAAAGAAGAAGAAAAAAGAAGAAGAAGAAGAAGAAGAAGAAGAAGAAGAAGAAGAAGAAGAAGAAGAAGAAGAAGAAGAAGAAGAAGAAGAAGAAGAAGAAGATGATGAAGAAGAAGAAGAAGATGAAGAAGAAGAAGAAGAAAAAGAAGAGGAAGAGGAAGAGGAAGAAGAAGAAGATGATGATGATGAAGAACTCAGACTAAGTGTCATTTCCCTAGAGTA